CCTCTGCTTTCATGGAGCACAGGGGCTGTGTACCACCAGAAGCTTGTTCCCTCTTTTCTCTTGATGCTGCATCTGGAGGAGGGGAGGCAGGAGAAGTGAAGAGCAGGAGTGCACTGGAGCTGAAAGTAGGGACTCTGGACAGACTCTTCACGAGCAAACTCATAGAATCACAGCACATGTGAACCTCCCAGTAGGAGCTATGCTGATGTGCTAGTGAATCCCTTTGACTGTGTGACAGTTTACAATGAGATCTCTTCACTGTTCATGTTCCACACAGCCAAAGAGGGCATAACCACACCCCTGTCCTAGATTCACCCATGTCTAAGGGAAAAGGCTGCATTAACAAGGAACTTCCTGGCTAGAAACAGAAATTACACATAAACCTGCATAAGTGATCATAAAACAGTCCAAATCTGCAGCACAACAGAAGCTCAGTGAACATAAGCCACTTTCAAAATGACCAAAACCAATTTAAGACAAACCTGAGTGGATGTAATATCAGACTTAACTGATTTAGGTTAAATAGGTTTATTGAATTTCTGTCCCAGATCCCCTTCAGATTCAAGTTAACTTACAGCCCCCAACTTCCCAAGATGCTTTGCACTTCCCCTGGAATCCCTTTCCCTCATCCTCCCCCCACCCAGGGTGGGCAGGTTAACGTTTGCCCAAGCTGTCTGCTTCATCCGAGCAGGTAGACATGCTCTAGAGTCCCCCAGCAGCTGACCCGAGCCACTGCAGGCATGTGTCTGCATTTCTAGAATCAAAAGTAAATGTCTGTTCACTTGCTTATCAGTTCAATCTAAGCAGTTTATACTAACTTGCAAAGATTGAACTGATTCATCGTTGGGCTTTTTGGCTGTCTGTACTTAGTCCCAGTAATGTTTCTGCAATGACCATGGCAATGTAGGGGTTAAGTCCTAACCAAGTCACAAACCCACCACCCCAGTTCCAAGTTATTTATGTGGTGGAAATGTAACAGGATTTACTCCTATGTAGGAATAACAAGACAGAAATTTTGTGTACTTTATCAGTTATGGAAATTAGGAGCTACAGAAAAGTGTTATTTAGTAATCCTCTTAAAGGAAAACAAATCAATGCTGGCAGTTTAATTCTGTTCTCTGTGTTTGCATAAAACAGCTCTACTTGTTTAAAGCATTTTAAGCCTTATGCTCACACTGTGTAATTATAAGCTGAAAACAATGAGCACTCATTTGTCCTTCATGTAGCAGTAGCTGAAAGTATCATTTCCTGTATAGCACATCTTTTGATATCTGAAAAAGAGTGGCAGCTTTATTTTTAGTATTTCAGAGAAGGGAACTGCTGAATGTTCTTGCAGTGCAATTGAGATAGTTTATGTTCATGTTAAAGGCTAAAAGCAAGTTAAATTGACACCTATAAGTTTATCAGGGTGTCAGAACCAAGTAAAAGGCCCCAAGATCACGGT